CCCCCCGCCCGGTCGCGCCCCCATTGGACGGGCCCCACCGCTGGCCCCGCCCACACTCCCGGCTCCCCGTGCCCCCTCCCCCTTTATCCCCTCCCCGGCTCCGGACCCCTCCACGTCCCCCGGAATGTTCCATAAAAACGGCTTTATTGGCAGTTTCAGTTCATTCCCGCTGTCCCCGGCCCGCGGCAGAGCCCCGGCAGGAGACCGCCCCATCCCCGGGCGGGGGTTCCCCCGTGTGGCCCCCACCGGCCTCAGCCGGGGGTTCGGCCGTCCCAGAGCCACGGGCGGGAGAACAGGCCGGAATCCTGTTGGGGCCCCTCTCGATGGGACCCCCAGTGCATCCCGGCACGGTCCGGTGCTCAAGATGTGGCACTGGCAGACAACCAGGTCCCCAGGCACATCCTGGCACATCACAGCGTCCAGGACTCACCACGCGCAGCGGCTGGAGCCACCGGCGTGTCCTGGCACATCCCGGTGCTCAGGATGTGGGGCTGGAAGCGGCCGAAGTCCTTGGCACCTCCTAACACACCCCAGTGGAGGGTGCCAAGGATGCAGCACCGGCCGTCACGAGGGAACCGGGCACATTCCAGTGCTCAGGTTGCACCACTGGCAGCCACCAGGTCCCCCGGCACATCCCAGTGCCAGGACTCACCACTGACAGTCCTCAGAGCCCTGGCATCTCCCAGCACATCCTGGTACTCAGGATGCGCTGCTGGAAGCCGCAGAAGCTCCTGGCACATGCCAGAACATCCCGGTGCCCAGGATCCAGCACTGGCACCAGCTTGAGACCCGGTGCTGAGGACACATCACTGGCAGCTGTAAGAACCCCTGGCACATCCCAGTGCCCAGGATATGCCACTGGCAGCCACTGGAACCCCTGGCACCTCCCAGCACATCCCAGTGCCCAGGATGTGCCACTGGCAGCCACCAGACCCCCTGGCACATCCCGGCACTCAGGGGCAGAGAGTGGGGGGTTCTGGCCAGCCCAGTTGGGGCCCGGTGATGCTGGTGCCAGTCCCTGTGCCCATCCCGGTGCTGGTGGCGGTGCCAGTCCCCGTGCCGGCAGTGCCCATCCCCGTGCCGGTGCGGCCGTGGGTGCGCTCGTGGCGCTCCAGGTGAGTCTTGCGGGTGAAGCCGCGGCCGCAGCGGGCGCAGCGGTGGGGCCGCAGCCCGGTGTGCACGGCCTCGTGCCGGCCCAGGTTGGTCTTGGAGCTGAAGCGGCGCCCACAGCGCGCACAGGCATGGGGGCGGGTGCCCGTGTGCACCAGCAGGTGCCGCGCCAGGTGAGCCTTGCGCCCGAAACCGCGCCCGCACTGCGGGCAGGAGAAGGGGCGCTGGGCAGGGGGTGCCTGCGGGGTGGGCTGGGGGTCCTGGGCGAACGGGCGCTGGGCAGGGGGCACCTGGGACACGTGCTGGGGGTCCTGGGTGAAGGGGTGCTCAGTGCTGGGCACCTGCGGCCCGTGCTGGGGGTTCTGGGCGAAGGGGCTCTGGCTGGGGGGCACCTCTGGCAGGTGCTGGGGGTCCTGGACGCCGGGCACCTGTGGGGGCTGCGAGAGGTGCTGGAGGTCCTGGGCACCGGGCGCCTGCAGCGGGTGCTGGGGGTCCTGAGCGCAGCCGTGGCCACACTCGGCGCAGCCCAGGGGTCGGTTCTCCAAGTACTGCCACGGGTGCGGTGCCGGGCTCTGCTTCCAGCTGAGGCTCGTCCCGCACTGGGAGCAAGGGAGAGGCTTCTCGTCGGCATCCCTCTCCCCGCCCCCATCCCGGTGCCCATCCAGCTGTCCGTTGCCAGCCCCCGGCACCGTTGCCAGCCCCGTGTGCGGCCGCGGGCTCTGCTTCCAGGCGAGGCTCATCTCGCAGCCCGGGCAGGGCAGCGGCTTCTCCTCGGGGGGCACCTCCCCGTGGCCGTCGCGGTGCCCCTGGGCGGGCTCGCCGTGCAGGCGCAGGTGGCGCAGGAGGTGCTGGCGGTGGGCGAAGCGGCGGGCGCAGCGCGGGCAGGGGTGCGGCCGCTCCCCGGTGTGGGTGCGCAGGTGCCGGTCCAGGTGCGTTTTCTTGCGGAAGCGGCGGGCGCAGCGCGGGCAGGGGTAGGGCCGCTCCCCGGTGTGCGTCCGCAGGTGGGAGCGCAGGTGGATGCGCTGGCGGAAGCGGCGCCCGCAGTGGGAGCAGGGGAAGGGGCGCTCGCCCGTGTGCACCCGCAGGTGCCGCGTCAGGTGCGCCTTCTTCCCGAAGGCCTTCCCGCACTGGGAGCAGGAGAAGGGCCGCGGGGTGAGCTGGGGGCAGCGCTCGTGCCCCACGGGGACGGGGCCCACCCCGAGGCCCATCCCGATCCCAGGGCCGATCCCGATCCCGGTGCCGAAGCCGATCCCGATCCCGGTGCCGTCCAGGCGCTGCCCCAGCCCCCAGGTTGGCAGCACTCCGTATCCCAGCTCCTCCGGGCACGGCTCCTCCGCTTTGCAGGCACCGGCGATTCCGGGTGTCCCGGCAGGATCGGGGGGGACGGCGCCGGGAAGCGGCTGCGGAGCCAGCGGGGCCTCAGCTCCGCCTGCCCAGGCCTCGTCCTCATCCTCCTCCTCCACCTTCACCTTCCGCACCAGCCAGTGCCCTGCAGGGACACGGAGGGGCCGTGCCAGGGATGGGATGTCCCGGCACGGACATCGGAACCGGGACGCAGTAACTGCCACCCAAGGACCCGGAGCTGCCACCGGCCCTGGGACACAGTGACCATCGAGGCCAGTGGCACCAGGGACACGGTGACCGCCACCCAAGCACTCGGCACTGCCACCAGCCCCAGGACAGGGTGACAGTGACCGTGTGGCCCCGGTGTTCCCAGGGGCCCCCTGGCAGTGCCAGTGTCACAGCCGTGTTCCTCACCTGAGCCGTGGAGCTCCGGGTCTTCCAGATTGTCCCCGTCACCTTCAGGGGTCACCTCCACCTTGGGGACCACCGGCCACACTGGGGGGAAAAGAGACACAGCCAGGTCTTCTCCTTGCTCCAGGGTGGCCCCAAGTGCCCCGGGACCACCCTGGTGCCCACTTGACACCCCCCAGGACCCCAATGCCCACCTGAGCTGGCACATCCTGGTGCCTCCATCTCCTCCAGCTCCACCTTGGCCACAGCAGGACCTGCAGGGGGTGGGGGGTAGCACCAGGTGAGACCCCCAGACCCGAACTGGGGATCCCCCTGCACCCCCGCCAGGAGGTTGGGACCCCCGGGATGCCCAGGACCCCAGCACGTACCCAGGGCACAGCGGGGGTCAACGCTGTCCTGCATGGTGGCTCCAGGGGGTTCGAGGAGGGTTTGCGGGGGTCCCGGGGGGTTCCGGGGGGTGCGGGGGTTGGGCTGTGGGAGGCAAGAGCCGCGGGCTCACTCAGGGGTCTGGGGGTCCCGCAGAGCCCCCCCAGCCAAGCAATGGGGATCTAGGGGCGTGCAGGGAGTCCCCGCCAGCCCTGACTCCACCCAGCGAAGAGGGGGGGTCTTGGACATCCCTACCCCGGAAACACGCCCCGGGGGTCCCCCACTGGGGGGTTTCCCCGTCCTGGTTCCCCCCAGCAGCTCACAGCCCCCCCCCCTTCTCCCCCCCCTCCGCGGGCCCCCCCGTAACCCCACCCAAGCCATCCCTGCCCTTTCAGTCCCCCAGGCAAGTCCCCCAGCCTCCTCAGCGTCCCCCTGTCCCCACCA